ATTTTATCCTCCCCATATAGTTTTTTTTTTTATTGGAACCATATTACATGTACAGTTAACATCCAATGGACCAACATAGTCCACTGAGAGACACAATCCGTAATAGTGAGGAGGTTTAGTGCACAAATTCTGAAGCCAGATGACCTCGGTTCAAATCCCAGCTCTCCCATTTATTACCTGTGTGTCCTCTGTGCTTCAGTTTCTTTGGCTATAAAATGGGGGGAATTGATGCTACCTACTTCCATAGGTTTATTGAGAGTATTAAGTAGGTTAATATGTCTGAAACACTTAGAACAGTGTCTGGAAGTTAGTTAGGACTAGTTAGTATTTATTGCAATTACATGTAAAAACTTCAAATCATTCAGAACTTTTTAAAAATATATATATATTTTATTGATTTTGTACAGAGAGGAAGGGAGAGAAATAGAGAGTTAGAAACATCGATGAGAGAGAGTCATCGATCAGCTGCCTCTTGCACACCCCCTACTGGGGATGTGCCCGCAACCAAGGTACATGCCCTTGACCGGAATCGAACCCGGGTCCCTTCAGTCCCCAAGCCGACGCTCTATCCATTGAGCCAAACTGGTCTCGGCAAGAACTTTTTTTTTTTAATTTAAAAACCTCCCACTTAAGCTCCTCCTCTCTCATTGTAACCTCATTTCCCTCTCCACAGTCAACTTGGTTTGTGATCATCCTTCAAGGGTTTTACTATCATTTAAAATCATGAATTGTAATATACTTACTACTTGGCAACTTATTTTTCTCACTAACCATGTATCTAGGAGATATTCCAGGTCACTAAGCCTACCTCCTTTTTCATGTGTGTATTATAAGACACCACAGCACAAATAATGTCTCTATGATGGATAAAACAGACCAAAAAAGGAGTTCTTTGGAAAGTAACCTCACAGGGTAATCTGATCATAAATTCCTAACTGAGCAGGTCATGGTGGGTAGTCACACCTCAGGACTATAACTTCTTTAGTAAAAGGTTTATCTTTACCTTAAGCAAGCCCTGTCCATTGTTTTTATGCATCTAGGTTAACACACCCTTGAAATAAATTGTAACCACCCTCAAGAAAGCATATACAATGGTGCCTCGCATAAAGAACGCCTCGCACAGCGAACGCTGCACACAACGAACTTCGTTTCACACAACGAAGTCGCCCGAGCTTCCACGACCGCTTTGCCCGAGCTTCCACGACTGCTTCGCCCGAGCTTCCACGATCGCTGCTGATGTATTGCATCCTTCCGCGCAGGCACTGCAGGCAGTCGTTAGTCACTGCGCTTAACTTAAGCACGTATCGCGGCAATCGTTCTTCATTACGAATTAAATCACGCACGTATCACGGCAGTCGTCCTTTTAAGTTAAACTCAATATTTTTTTATATAATTAAAAAAAATTATGTTTTTAGATGTATCTAAATAAAAATAATAACAAAAAATTTATCTTTTTTATGTCATCTTAGCATATTTTATGCTACAGAACGAATTATTTTTTTTAACATGTATTGTTATGGGAAAACGCGTTTCACATAACGAACTTTTCGCATAACAAACTTGCTCCTGGAACGAATTAAGTTCGTTGTGTGAGGCACCACTGTAATCTTGTTAACTATCCTGTAATCCAATCCCTGCCTTGCTTTCTCCCACCTCCGTGTTTCTTTCTTAATTTCAAATGCATAAAATAAGATGCAACGCTGTTATTCCCTGGAGCATTTAGATCTTGCTCCCCACATTAGTGATCATTTTGGCTCAAACAAACTCATAAAAATGCTCTTCAGGTTTGGCTGTTTCTTTTTCTTTTTCTTTTTCTTTTTTTTAAATTGATTTTCCACAGAGAGGAAAGGAGAGAGATAGAGAGATAGAAACGTCGATGAGAGAGAAACATCGACCAGCTGCCTCTTGCACACCCCCTGCCGGGGATGTGCCCGTAACCAATGTACATGCCCTTGACCGGAATCGAACCCGGGACCTTTCAGTCCGCAGACCGACGCTCTATCCACTGAGCCAAACCCGTTCGGCTGGCTGTTTCTTATATTGATCGAAATCTGGGTTGTTTCCAATGTTCCACTCTTGTGTTCGCTTTCTACACATTCTTTCTGTTTTGTAATTCAAAGCCATCAAGCGAAGCCTCACAGGGCTTCCTCATTTCACCGTCTGCTCATTTCCTATTGAGCAAAGCCTCTTCCTCAGGGCCGCTCTTGCCGCACCCTGCGGGGTGGGGGCTTTTTCCGCAGAAAGAAGAAGTAGAATTATCTATCCTGGGCCTTCGGAGCAGAGGCCCACGCTGCCCGGCCCACACAGCACGGCCCCTGTGGCTCTAGAGGAGCCGCCGAATCACCTCGTGGCAAAATCAGCATCCCTCTGCCTCCGGTGAGGTTGACTTGCACTTAATAAGTTACAATAGTTCTGGCAACAGCCGAAATCAGTTTGGCTCAGTGGATAGAGCATTGGCCTGCAGACTGAAGGGTCCCGGGTTCGATTCTGGTCAAGGGCATGTACCTTGGTTGTGGGCACATCCCCAGTAGGGGGTGTGCAGGAGGCAGCTGATCGATGTTTCTCTCTCATTGATGTTTCTAACTTTCTATCCCTCTCCCTTCCTCTCTGTAAAAAAAACAATAAAAAAAATATATATTTTAAAATAAAAATAAAATAGTTCTGGCACCAGATGGGATGCTTTCCCTGGACATACTTCACCACTTCGCTGAAGACATATGTGTTCCAGGGTGAGTCTGTTTCCTCAGGTGATTCTCACATATGTTCCTGTTGTCAGGGGTCACTGGCATATGGTTCTGTGGCAGGATAGTAAGAAAGCTAGGGAAATTCCTGGGCAAGGGGAATGGGGAGACGGAAACAAGAAAATTAAACAAGGCCAAACAGTTTGGGCAGCTTCCAGCCGACGTGTAAATCACAAGATCTTATCTTCCCCAACCAAGGACACGTAAGAACAAATGGCTTCTAGCTCTCCTCCTAACCAGGGAATACATAGCTTAAATCACCCTGGCCTGGGAAAATAAAGAACAAAGATCCAATCAATGCCATTTGTGCCAGCTACATCCAAGGACAGATGAAATCTGGGGGACAAATAACAAACACCCCAGAAGCATTTGGAAGGTTTCACTTGAGGGGGGAATGTTGGCCAGGACAGATAGCTGGTAGGGCAGGAGGAGGGGAAGGGGGGAAAAAAGGAAGAGTTGATCTCACCCACTGAACAAAGAAGTCAGCAGTCTTGGGACTTGCCAAGATAATACTGGCAGATGCTCTCATTCATTCTGGGAAAAGCCTCAACAATGTAAAAAGGGAACCTTGAAATCTAGTCTATCTTTTAGGGGAACCTTGAAATCTAGAGGGAGAAAAATATAAAACCCTTGAACCCCCACCCGGTGAGGCACTCAGACTAGCTGAGTTGCCCATTTGTGTGCTATGCCAAGTGTATTTTTAATAAATTCACTTGCTTTGCTTCAAAACTCATCTGAATTTTGTCGTTCATCAGAATTCCTTCTGGTGAGTGTGACAAGAGGGGGGAGAGTCAGCCCCCTCTGACTTGGGTGGCTCTCTGGTACAGTTTTCTTTCAGAAATGCTCTATTCCACCTGGCCAGTGAGGCTCAGTAGTTGAGTTTTGACCCATGAACCAGAAGGCCACAGTTCGATTCTCTGTCAGGGCATATGTCCAGGTTTTGGGCTTGATTCCTGATGGGGTGCATGCAGAAGACAGCCAGCTAATGGTTCTATCTTGTCATTGATTCTCCCTTTCCCTTCCTCTCTGAAATTAATATATATATTAATTATATATATATATATTTATATATATATATATATATATATATATATATATATATATATATTTCCTATTGAGCCAGTTAATGGTTCTATCTTGTCATTGATTCTCCCTTTCCCTTCCTCTCTGAAATTAATATATATATATTAATATATATATTTTTTTTAAGTCTCAGGAGATGTAAAGCAAGTAAGAGGACTCCAAGTGTTACTCATGCTTTATTTCATTGTCAGCCCCTGGACCTGGTGATGGAAAATGGAGACTCAAATCCAAGTGACACAGGGTCCTTCACTTTGAGGACAAAGGGGATACAGTGATTTTACCAGATAAGGTGGGCTCAGTGTCAAAGTGAGTGGAAAAATGGGGTCCCTTGGAAGAGCTTGTCACAACACAGGTTTCTAGATCCCTCCCTGGGAGATTCTGATTCAGGAGATCTTAGGAGAAACTGAGTCTATACCTTTTTTTTTTTTTTAAACTGAGTTTATACTTTTAAAACACTGCTCACCTTTTTTATGGCACCTATAAACATACGCCTGGTTTGAGAAGCCCTGGTATGAATAAATAGTGGTGATGAGTTCTGAGTAGGGAGGAGAGAATGCATGCGTTGGGTAGTTGGGAAATCCTAGCAAGCAGGAAGGGATCCTCCTATCTGCTGAGCTCCCCTCCAGGGGCCGACACTGGCCAAGTGTCTCCTAGAGGGCCGCTGCCACATGAGGAGGACAGATGCCCAGGGCCGGAGTTCTGACTGAAACGTGATCTCAGAATTCTCTCCCTTTGGGTGGAGGAGCAAACCTTTGTTGTCAGAAGTTGGGAGTGAGGAGGAGGCAGAACAGGAGGAAGGGTGCATGAGAGGAAAGGCTTAAAGGTTAGTGCTATGTAGCCTCCAAATTGTCAGGCCTTACACATTCAAGGGATACTAACCAAAAGATTGAGTCTGCTTTTTTTTTTTTTGCTTTTTTTTTTTTAAGGGAAAGGAGGGGACCATTTAGATAGCTCCAGCGGTGAATGAGCTCAAATGGTCCCCTTACAGCCATTTATTAGGACTTCCCTTGCCTGTGCTCCAGAGCGAGGAGGTGTTGTGTCACCACATGAGCTGGTGAGAAAGTCAACATCTTCAATGGTTTTAAATATTTGATTCTGGTAACAGAGGCCTCAAATATCTCAAGTGGAACCCCCAAGAAAGAGAAAACTTAAAAATTAAGAACTGACCTGCTATGGTTAGTTACGGGTTCACACAAACATCATGCAGCCAAAGAGTAAGTTGGGATCATAAGTATTGATCCAGTGTTGTCTCATTGGACATAAGTTACCAATGGCCAGCCTCCAAATTTCCATACAGAAAAAAAATAGGGGTCCAGTTCCTCCTTAGTCTCCCTCCTTTCTATCCTTTGGAACAATGACCATTCCCCACCTTGACCCCCGCCCTGGCTCCCTGGGACAGCCCTCCATAGAAAGCAGGTTGGAGAACACTGATCTGATGAAGCTTTCGTGCTATTAGATAGATTGCTTTCTGGGACAGCCAGATGGCCACTTCACAAAGCCATCCTTCCTGTTCCTGGAAACTCTGATCCTCAGAAAGTTCTTCCTTTTATCGACTGAGTGCTGCTCCCTGAAGTTCCACCCACTGTCCCTCGTTTTCCCCTCCTAAAGTTCTGCTACGTTGTTCTACATGGAAAGTCTTTAAATAAATATTCATTAAGAGCAATCTTCTCTTTTCCAGGCAAAAACCTCTTCACGTCTTCCAATAGATTCTCGTGTGACATGGCCACTCTCTGCTGGACACACTCCAGTTTGTCAATGGCCCTTTTAAAATTAGGCTCCTGAAAGAGACCATGGCTCCAGACAGGATCTGGCCGAGGCAGTGTGAAATGATGGGCCATTCCTTCTCTTGATCTGGACATTAAGCGCTCAATTAGTGCAGAGTGGAATTATATTAGCTTCCTTGGCAGCCACTCCACAGTCTTTTATAGTGAATCTGCTGTCCATTAAACCCTCTCTGTTTCACATTAATTGGTATTAGAAGTGAATCATTTTTTTAAAAAAATGGATTTGAGCCGGAACCGGTTCGGCTCAGTGGATAGAGCATCGGCCTGCAGACTGAAAGGTCCCAGGTTCGATTTCGGTCAAGGGCATGTACCTTGGTTGCGAACACATCCCCAGTGAGGGGTGTGCAGGAGGCAGCTAAATCGATGTTTCTCTCTCATTGATGTTTCTAACTCTCTATCCCTCTCTCAAAAATCAATAAAATATATTTAAAAATGGATTTGAGAGAGAGAGAGATGGATTTGGTGTACCATGTATTTATGCATTTATTGATTAATGCTTGTATGTGCCCTGGGATCAAACTGCAGCTTTGGCATATCAAGAGGATGCCCTAACTCAACTGAGCTACCTGGCCAGGGCCATTATGAAGTGAACTCTTTTCCATCCTGTGCTCCTGCAGTTGACATTTCTTAATGTAAGTGTTGGACTTTACTTTTATCTTCCTAATATTTCATCCTGTCGCTTTTAGTCCAGTCACTCAAAACATTTTAAATTGTCTAACCACTATGCTGTATGCCTGAAATTAACATAAAATAATATTGAGTGTAAACTGTAATTGAAAAATAAAAATTTTAAAACCTATCACAAGATCTTCAGCCATCTTCAGTGGGGTATAAGTTTAATAGTTGCCTTGAATTTTAGTGTTACTTCTGTACATCTAAAAGACTGATAACTTAGAAGAGAGGTAAAGGCAAGAGACACTTTAAAAAAATTTGCACTTCCTGAATACTTATTCCTTGCCAGATACTGTACTATGATATTTATTTAATCTTACACTGCCATAGTGAAAACAGGTAAGAATACAGTATCTCATTTTATAAATGAGGAAACTGAGAGGAAGGAATGAAGAAGAAAGTGTCCTATTCTCTGATGAATCTTTCTCAGCATCAGTCTCAGTGATGACTGAGCATATAGAAGCTCCTAAGCACACAAGCCATGTAAGTCTTCCCAAAAGGAAGGTTTTGGCTCGCCGGTATCTAAAAGGCTTGGACTAAAAAGGAACAATAAACTACTGTCTCCTTCTCCTTAGGGCAGTGGTCAGCAAACTCATTAGACAACAGAGCCAAATATCAACAGTACAACGATTGAAATTGCTTTTGAGAGCCAACTTTTTAAAAAATATATTTTGTTGATTTTTTTTCAGAGAGGAAGAGAGAGGGATAGAGTTAGAAACATCGATGAGAATCATTGATCAGCTGCCTCTTGCATACTCCCACAGGGGATGTGCCCGCAACCAAGGTACATGCCCTTGACCGGATTCGAACCTGGGACCTTTCAGTCTGCAGACCGACGCTCTACCACTGAGCCAAACCGGTTTTGGCAAGAGCCAACTTTTTTATTTTTATTTTATTTTATTTATTTATTTTTTTTCCTCACAAGAACTTTATTTACCCTAATTTTTTTTTAAATATATATTTTATTGATTTTACACAGAGAGGAATTGAGAGGGACAGAGAGTTAGAAACATCGATGAGAGAGAATCATCTATCAGCTGCCTCTTGCACACCCCCTACTGGGGATGTGCCTGCAACCAAGGTATAATACATGCCCTTGACCGGAATTGAACCCGGGACCTTTCAGTCCGCAGGCTGACGCTCTATCCACTGAGGCAAACCGGTCCTGAGGAGCCAACTTTTTTAAACTTAAACTTCTTCTAACGTCACTTCTTCAAAATAGACTCGCCCAGGCCGTGGTATTTTGTGGAAGAGCCACACTCACACATGTGGCTCGTGAGCCGCAGTTTGCCCACCACAGCTTTCGGGTAACATCAGCCTTTTGACGAAAATGAAATCAGGCGTAGGAATGAACAGAAACTGAAAACAGCTAGAGAAAGATGAAGTTTTGGGTTACATGGATAAAGCTTAGCCCTGGCCAGGTAGCTCAGTTGGTTAGAGAGTTGTCCAGATTCACCAAGATTACAGGTTAGATCCCCGGTCAGGGCACTCACAGGAAGCAACCAATGAAAGCATAAACAAGTGGAACAACAAATCCATGTTTCTCTCTCTCTCCCTTCCTCTCTGTCTCTCTCTAAATCAATCAATTAAAAATATTAAAGAACTCTTATTGGGCATAGAATGCTATAAAATGTGATGTGGTCATACAGGTGTCTTAGTTACATGACCTTGGAATTTGCACTTGTGGCTTTGTCAGGCTGCTAGAATGTTTTTTCTTGTCTTCCTTTTTATTTTTATTTTTATATTTTTAAAAAATATATCTTATTGATTTTGTACAGAGAGGAAGGGAGAGAGATAGAGAGCTAGAAACATCGACGAGAGAGAGTCATCGATTGGCTGCCTCTTGCACACCCCCTAATGGGGATGTGCCCGCAACCAAGGTACATGCCCTTGACCGGAATCGAACCCGGGACCCTTCAGTCCCCAAGCTGATGCTCTATTCATTGAGCCAAACCAGTATCAGCTTGTATTCCTTTTTAGATTAGGAGGGAATGATGCTTCGGTGAAGGACTTAGCCCATATCACTCCACTTAAATTTATCTGTACAGAATGTATAATATATAATATTTTCCTTGTTTATTTATTTCTCCGCATGGAAATGTGAGCTCCATGAAGGCAGGCTCCTGTCTTATTCTCCTCTGTATCCCTATTACTTTAAATAGGGCTTGGCACAGATTAAGTGCTTAAAATGGATGAATCTAAGTCTGACACAAAAGACCTACTATTTTTAAAAGATTATTTAAAAACCATGTAAAGGCTGAGCCAAGTTTACCCCAGCACTCACTTGGATGTGGATGCAGGCACATGGCTTAAATTTTAAGAAAATATTACTAACATCCTTTTAGTGCTTAGCCAGAGCTCCCTTTTGATAAATTAAAACACACACACACACACACACACACACACACACACACAAATACTGCCCTCTGATGGTAGTGATTTTTTTTATCCTTTTTAATTTTAGTAGCAATAGTTGTACATCCTCATTTCCCTAAGATCAAACTATGGCTGCAGGTAATGGAGGGACTTTAAGATGGACAATGCTTTGCATATTCCAGACAACTTTCCTAGCTACAACCCTTCGCCCCAACCCTTCCAACTAGTCTGCTTGCCCAGCCCTCTCATTCTGCAGTCCTAATGGTTAAGTTGGCAGTGCCAGGGTGGACCTTCCCAAAGGCTTATCGTAAGACAGTGACACAGCTTGCTTGCTTGGGCCAGCTGTGACTCAAAGGGCGAGGGTGACCCCTCATATGGCAATTGTCCTTTATTTGTCTGACTTCACAGCTTGGCCTCTTTCTCTTTTGCCTCAAGCTTTCCGTTCTTTCTGGCTTCCTGTTCCCAGCTCCTCTCCTAGGTGAAAATGTTAAAGGTTGAAAGTTTAAAATATGCCAGCCCATTATAGCAAAAGTATGTCCCAAAATCTAAAAATATTTTAATTATTTTATCAGGGCTATTCAGGTATCAAAGTTTAATTCTCAAAATTTTAAAAAACATAATTTTCATACCAATGTAAAATGAATGCGTATTTAAGATTTATTTAACTCATCGATTAAGTATCAATAAAATGATAACACTGGTTCAAAAAGTGGTTAATGTCTGCCCTAGCTGTTTGGCTGGGTGGATAGATCGTTGGCAGACTGAAAGGTCAAGGTCGATTTTGGTCAAGGGCACATGCCAGGGTTGTGGGCTGGTCCCCAGTAGGGGACGTACAGGAGGCAGCTGATCAATGATTCTCATTGTTGATGTTTCTATTTCTCTCTCCCTCTGAAATCAATAAAAATATGTTTTTAAAAAGTGGTTAACCACCCAGAACTGAAATATCATTGCTGACATGTACACATAGGAACTGTTTGACATTGAAATTGGGTCTCAAAAGATCTGGTGGCCCAGAAAGAAACTCACCACAGACTGATTCATATGCCTTTCAGCATAACGATTATTGCTTGTTTCATTTTTTATTCTTATAAGTATATCTCCAGTAGGACATGATCTTACTCATCTAGGGGAAATGGTGAACAACATAGACTGATGAACAAGAACAGACCCAGAGATAAGGAGCCATGGGTCAGACTGTTGGATTTCAAAGGGAGGGTGGGGATAAAAGGGAGAGATCAACCAGAGGACTTATGTGCACACATATGAGCCCAACCAGTGGTCGAGGTCAGTAGGGGGGTTGGGGCATGAGTGTGGGGGAGGGGGTTGGAATGGGGGATTGAAGACAAATATGTGATACCTTAATCAATAAAGACATTTTAAAAAAGTGGTTAATGCCTTATAAGCAAATAAACCTATTAGTTATCTTCTCTACTGGACCAAAATTTTCAAATTAACATGGAACTAAATACACAGTATCTGGGCTCTAATCAAATAGTAATACACTAAGAAAGTCAAACACAAATACACTGTCCTAGAAAATTAAATAATCCTTGAGAAATTTTAAAATAATGCTGCAATATAATGTTGAAAAGACATGTGGCCCTCATCTTTTCCCTTATGTGTAAGTTTTAGAAATTTTTCTTAACACAAGTTTATATATATATTTTTTATATAAATTATATAGATATATGTTTTACATAAAACATGTATGTTTATCCTGTCAGTCTTTACCTGTTTTGTAGTGTGTTAGTACTTCCCAAGTAGTTAACAGTAGAAGTGAGAGAGCAAAAACATAAATCTTATTTTGTTACTAGTTGATAACTCTAATTTCAGGGTGAGAGTGTTGGTGTAGAGTAGAGGGAAAAGAGACAAAGTGAGGGAAGAGATTAAAAGATTTGGATAAAATAAACTTTGAGGGTTACATTAAGATGTTAATTTATTTCCATGGTTATCAGATATAATGGATACCTCTAAGTTTCTTGTCAGTAGAGAATGCATCTCACCAAATATGTGAAAATTGTGTAGTAGCCAGTGTAATAACAGGAAAGAGGGACAATGAAATCACAAATATTTAATAGTAGTGATGACAGATGCCTGGCTCTGGTTAAAATTTCCTTATAAGTATTGAGGCATGTGGTAATTTTGCTCTAAGTACATAAGGCTACTATTAACGAGGGCAAGGTCAAGAAGGAAATCCTATTAGTATTTGTTAACCAAATAGCTTCTATCAGAAACTGAAAAATTCCTACATCAGGATGGTCATATTGAGGTTGGGAACAAGGAGCATTCATTCAATTTAAATTTGTCTTTAGCATGTACTACCAATTTTGTTTGTTGTTTTTTTTTAAATATATTTTATTGAATTTTTACAGAGAGGAAGAAAGAGGGAGAGCTAGAAACATCGATGAGAGAGAAACATCAACCAGCTGCCTCTTGCACACCCCCTACTGGGGATGTGCCCGCAACCAACGTACATGCCCCTGACCGGAATCGAACCTGGGACCCTTCAGTCCGCAGACCGACGCTCTACCACTGAGCCAAACCGGTTTCGGCTTGTTCGTTGTTTTGCTTTGTTTTTGTTTTTCTTCTTTTGGTGGAACATATATGAACTTTTTTCCTGCCCTAGCTGGGTGTTCAGTGGTTAGAGCACTGGCCTGGGGACTGAGGGGTCTTGGGTTCAAATCCAGTCAAGGGCATGTACTTTGGTTGCAGGCTCAATTGCACAGGGCAACCAATCAATGTGTCTCTCTCAGATCATGTTTCCCCGAAAATAAGACATCCTCCGAAAATAAGACCTACTTACAGGTTTCCTTCTGAGTGAAATATAAGGCATCTCCCGAAAATAAGGCCACCCTAGGCTAAACATGAGAGATTTGGTCCACTGATTCTGAAAGAAATGGAGTCACAAGAAATTCACCAGGAAATTCAGGAATTGGATTGTTATGATGTTCCAGAAGATGATGACATGATTGTCATTGAATAAATGAGTAAATTTTTTTTTTTTTTTTTTTTTTTTTTTTTTTTTTTACAGAGAGGAGGAGAGAGGGATAGAGAGCCAGAAACGTCGATGAGAGAGAAACATCGACCAGCTGCCTCTTGCACACCCCCTACCAGGGATGTGCCCGCAATCAATGTACATGCCCTTGACTAGAATCGAATCTGAGACCTTTCAGTCCACAGACCGACGCTCTACCACTGAGCCAAACCAGTTTTGGCATGAATAAATGAGTAAATTCTTGATACTGTAGGATTCACAGTTTGTCTGGTTTGTGTTGACAACTACCATACTACCGTACCGTATACAGGTAATAAATTTCCTTTATTTTCATTTAACAATAAATGTGTACCGTATTCTTCTTCATGGAAAAATAAGACATCCCCTGAAAATAAGACCTAGCGCCTCTTTGGGAGCAAAAATTAATATAAGACACTGTGTTATTTTCGGGGAAACAGGGTACCAACGTTTCTCTCCTACATCAATGTTTCTCTCCATCTGAAGTGGGAGAGGGAGAGAGAGAAATATTGATGTGAGAAACATCGATCAGTGCCTCCTGTAAGCACCCCAATTGGGGATGGAACTGATAACCTAGAAATAAGCCTTGATGGGGAATCAAACTCACAACCTTTTAGTGTACAGGGAAATGTTCCGACCACCTGAGCCGCCCCGCCAGGGCTAAACATCTATTAATTCCATCCCTCTACATTTTCTTCTTTAAATTATTGATGCCATTGTCCAAAACCATAGAATTTTATACCTACTCAAATGACTTTAGGATTTGGCCTATTTTCTTATCTTTGCCCCCATCAGTGTTCCCAGGATCTTTCAATATCCGAGCTATGGCTCCTCCAGACTCCTTAATCTCAAGACTCCATCAGTTTGGGTCTGGAAAGTTCAGATGCTCCATGTTATCACCACCAGGAATTGCTGAACTTCTGAGGTCACTTAACTCAGCATTTCCCTTCTCTGACCCAATTACTTTAATTGCTCACCAGTCACAACTTGTCAGACCTGGCTTCTGGGGCCACCCCTTCTAGTGCTTTTCATTGCTCAGCCCCTAGATCTTCTCCAGTCTCACTAACCAGGTGGCTCCACCTTGTTCATGAAGAAGACTGAAATCATAAACCTGGTCCTGCCCCTGGCATAACTGCTCTGTCAGTCTTCTCTCTTGTTCTTCCCTCTCCTTTAAAGCTATTTCTTTTGAAACGTCCTGGGGGAGCTTCCATAGAGTAAATACTGTGTTTAGTGAGTGAATGAATGAGTAAACAAATCTCTTCGGAGGAAAATAGCAAAGTTATAATTTAGAATGCACATACCCAGCAAGTCTCCTCTATACATTATTTACATTCATGCACATGTGTAAAATAGAGAATGTACAAGGTTATTTGCTGTGGCATTGTTGTTATAGTGAAAGGGGAAAACAACCTAAGGTCAACTTTTAAAATACTTCATCTACATCCCTGCAATAGAATACTATGTAGATATGAAAGAAACTCCTATTCTGAAAATTCTTTTGCTACCTATGGCAAACATACATGATTCATGACCATCTTGTTCCTGGTGATGTCACCATAAGAATAATCCCTTCAATGAGGCTTTTAATGGTAAAGAGTAGAAATGGACACATAGAAAGAATGAATAATTTTTACAGTTTATTTAATGAGTATTGAGTTCCTTGCAAAAAACAGGATTTCTACCATTTAAATAATATTATCTGTATACATATAACCTTGTCAACAAAAATCTCCTCTTTGTAGATCCAAATTCATAAATAGGCCTAAACTGCAGTACCTATTGTTCATTTATTATGGGTAGGGTTCCCATTTTACAAACAAAACTTTTTTTATGGGAAAAGGTTCAAGGTTTCAGAATGCCTTTGGTGTACATTTCCTGATACGGGAAGGGCAGAATTCTCCTGCTGTCCACCCAATGACATGCCCTGGCAGCTGCAGGGCACTGTGCAGGGGCACTTCTTTACTCTAGAATGAAATACTTAGGAAAGAGTTAAATATATGTAAAGACATAATGCACACAGGATAGTCTGCTAGTAACTATATATGCCCTCCAATCTTATCCAACTATAATTTGCTTACTGTGCCTCAATGAAAAAAATTTTCTTTTTTAAATCCTCACCCAAGAATATTTTTAGAGAGAGGAGAGGAGAGAAACATCGATGTGAGAGAGACTCTAACATCGATCAGTTGCCTCCTGTATGTGCCCCAATCGGGGATCAAACCAGCAACCCAAGTATGTGCCCTGACCAGGAATCAAACCTGCAGCCTTTTTTGTGTATAGGTCAGTGCACCTATAGAGTAGATGCTCTCCATGCCCTGTTTTTGAAAAGTAACACGGTCAATCCAAACATGACCTGATGTGTACATTTAGTGTTCTTTACAGATTTTTCTAGGACTAATCTACGTTCTCTGTTTAAACATGGAGTTTCTGCTAGCCCAATAAAATTTTTGTTTTTGATATCAGAACTCGTCAGCTGACTCTGTGTCCCAGCCACAGGATTGCAGCTGTTCATCCTGTGGGAATTCAACTTCTATGTCATAAACAAAATTTGGATCATCCTTCTTCTTCTGATTTTTCTCAAAAAGTTCATCCATGATACTCTTCCTTTTGGCAAGTTCCTTGTCATCTAGCTTGTTTAGGTCTTCCTCAGGATCAATGGTTGTTTCCCGTTGAAACTGTTCCATTGTTTCGGCCAAACTCTGTCCCCACAAGTAACCTCGTAAAAAACTGAATAATTTCTCCAGCTGTCTCAGGGACACTTGTTCCAGGTAACTCTTGTGGCGTGGATTATTCTTTAATTGTTCAGCAGCTCTGCTGCAATCTAGGAGGGAAGAATAAACAAAACTATACACCACACGAAACCTACACACCACAAGCTATTGGTGCACCACAAACTACTGACAGCATTATTGCCATTATAGCCAAAGAGCTAAGTGGTTTGTTCGGAACAAATTGTTCTGCAGAACTATTTCTTTATATGGAGCTTTGAATGTGGTAGAAGAAGAAGGGATTTTTTTTTTTTTCTTAACTTAAAATCATTTTGAGGAGATGTTAAACACTTTCAACTGGAGAAAAATGTCGGAGAAGAAAAAGTAGTATTGCAGCTTTAGATATTAGTACAGGTACTAAGAAAATATGGAGACTACAAGTAAAAAACACATTTGGAGGGAGAGATGGAAGTTAATATTATTATTATTTTTTTAAAAATATATTTTATTGATTTTTTACAGAGAGGAAGGGAGAGAGATAGAAACATCGATGGAAGAGATTCATCGATCAGCTGCCTCTTGCACGCCCCCTACTGGGAAATATGCCCACAACCAAGGTACATGCCCTTGACCGGAATCGAACCCGGGACCCTTGAGTCCACAGGCCAATGCTCTATCCACTGAGCCAAACCGGTTTTGGCAGGAAGTTAATATTATTGAATAATGCTATCTCAGTTAACCTACACAGCTATTCTGAAAGGGTGGGGATGATTAATTTCCTTTTACAGATTAGAAAACTGAAGCTCACGTCTGCCCTGAGAGATGTAATTAAATGAAGGTCTGTTTAACTGTGAATGCCCTGTCACACCATTACATAAAACACAAATTGTTCTTATTCGGTCATTTAGAGAGCATTTAAGATGGGAGGTGAGATAAAACATGAGGTACCTGAGCTTGGCCGGTGTGGCTCAGTAGTTGACCTTCTACCCAGGAACCAAGAGGTCACTGGCTTGATTCGTCAGGGCACATGCCTGGATTGTAGGCTTGGTCCCCAGTGTGGGGAGTGCAGGAGGCTACCGATTAATGATTCTTTCTCATCATTGATGTTTCTATCTCTCCTTCTCCCTTCCTCTCTGAAATCAATAAAAATATATTTTAAATAAATAGATACATAAAACATGCGTTAGCCGAAACTGGTTTGGCTCAGTAGATAGAGTGTTGGCCTGAGGACTGAAGGGTTTGATTCTGGTCGGAGGCATGTGCCTTGGTTGTGGGCACATCCCCGGTGAGGGGTGTGCAGGAGGCAGCTGATCGATGTTTCTAACTCTCTATCCCTCTCTTCCTCTCTGTGAAAAATCAATAAAATATATTTAAAAATAAATAAATAAAAATAAAATAAAACATGAGTTACCTGAAAACTTGGAAAAGTTTCGGACAGGCATGATGCGCTGGCGATTTTTCCCTTTCATTTCCTTCTCATAGATTAGGATAATAGCTGGAGGCTGAAACCTAACCCCACATTTCTTGGCAGTGCACGTCATTCTCATGTACACTTCACGGTAAGTGAGAGGAAATCTGGAAATGTGTTAGTCACATAATGACTTCCTGCAAAAGAGGGGAAAAACGAAGTGTTGGATAAATCACACTCCTCCTATCTCTCCTCCCCAGCAGATGTGGCTCTAGTCCAGATCTAGATCAGTTCTAGAGATACATGCTCAATCTCAATATTTTGAGCATTACCCTGAAAGTTTAGTTTGGCCCTGGGTTAGTCTTAAGACTGTTGGATCCCTGATTGAGGGGCACCTGAGCTTGGAAATGCACTTCAGTTGGGCTCTCTTAGTGCACTGTACTTTTAATCAAAGCTTATATATGAGCCCATGAGTCAGCCCCAAAACTGACTTACAGGATCTTTTCCATTTAACAATTAAACAAGTATATACAAGCACACTCTGTCACAATACTAAGAATTTTTCAAAATTTTATAATCATTATGTTTTGAGGGGTTAACCAGAGCAGATCTGTTTCCCTTATCCTTTCCCAGTCATTTTACACGTTGAGTTTTTTATAATTACTTAATCATTTTTCTTCCTTTCTCTTCCATATACTCTATGAGGACAGGGAACATATCCACTGATTACCACAACATCCCAGCACAATACCTGCAATGCAGTAGGCATTCTGTACATACTTGTTTAAACTGATGTATTAAAATAAGCCCCTGTACATCCTGAAAGATTTTACAGTCCAGAAGTCTGACCAAAAAGGCAAACCCACCTAGCCAGTGTGGCTCAGTGGTTGAATTTCGAACCAGGAGGTCATGGTTCAATTCCAGGTCAGGGTTTCAGCCTCGATCCACAGGAGAGGGCATGCAGGTGGCAGCTGATGGATGATTCTCTCTCATAATTGTTGATGTTCTCTCTCATCCTCTGAAATCAATACAAACATATTTTTTAAAAAGGCAGAGCCACCCTAGCTGGTTTGGCTCAGTGGACAGAGCGAAGGCCTGCTGACCGAAGGGTCCAGGGTTCAATTCTGGTCAAGGGCACATACCTCAGTTGCAGGCTCCTCCCCGGACCAGAACCTAGTTGGGGCACGTACAGGAGGCAACCAATTGATGTGTTTCTCTCATATCGATATTTCTGTCTTTCCTTCTCTCTTCTACTCTCTCTAAAAAGCAATGGAAAAATATCCTTGGGTGAGGATTAAAAAAAAAGGCAGAGCCAATGCAGAATCAGCCTATACATACACAAAACAATAAAGTTTATATGACTTTTATTTTTTATTATTATTATTTTTTTAAATATATTTTATTGATTTTTTTTACAGAGAGCTAGAAACATCGATGAGAGAGAAACATTGACCAGCTTCCTCTTGCACACTCCCTACTGGGGATGTGCCTGCAACCAAGGTGCATGCCCTTGACTGGAATCAAACCTGGGACCTTTCAGTCCACAGGCTGACGCTCTATCCATTGAGCCAAACCGGTTTTGGCTGACTTTTAAACTTGTCTCATTACATTATTTTTTTTTTTTTTTTTTCGGTTACAAAGAACACAGCTATTTTTTAGGGTAATACTTTCTATTCCCTCTTCCTGCCCCTGTCCCCAATGCCAAAGTACACTTACTTATAGGGACTGCTTTAGATGTGACTTTAAGACTTTTTCAGTCTTTATTCCCAGGAAATTTTGAAAATATCAAGGAACCTAGAAGTAAATCACCATAGAGTAATGGTATCTTTTTCTTTTTTGAAGGTATTTTTATTAATTTCAGAGAGGAACGAAGAGGGAGAGATAGAAACATCAATGATGAGAGAAAATCATTGACTGGCTGCTTCCTGCATGCCCCCCACTGGGAATGGAGTCCACAACCCGGGCATGTGCCCTGATGGGAATCAATGATGATTTGGTTCACAGGTCAATACTCAACCACTGAACCACTCGGCTGGGCAAGTAATGATATCTTCATAAACTTGGCTGTCAGCTACAGGCACATAGTTATTGAATACATGTTCACTGTAGAAAACTGGAGGTGAAGGTGGGACAGGGGGAGGAAGAAACAAAAAATAATTACCCTTAATTCCTTTCAGTCTTTTTTCTAGGCATACCATTTTATTTTTTTAAACAGTAGCCGGGTGGGTCCACCTTTTCGATCAGGCTTTTAGACTGTAAAAACTTTCAGGAGGTACAGGATGTAGCCTTTTAAATTTAACAACCTATGTGATTTTATCATTAAATGTGCCATCAAAATGCTATTTTTTGTTGTTAAATGAAAAGACATTTTGTTATTATTTTACTCTATAACATACCATGTTTCCCCGAAAATAAGACATCCTCCGAAAATAACTCCTAGCGCATGGAAAGATAAGACATCCCCTGAAAATAAGACCTTGCGCAACTTTGGGAGAAACAATTAATATAAGACACCGTCTTATTTTCGGGGAAACAGGGTAGTAGTGAATATATCTGATTGCATTTTCTCAAATGGCAAATGAGAACAGGACAGTATTTAACTGAAAACCTCAATATCATGTCTTTTGGAGGATTCAGTTTCCTAGATGAGTATGATACTGTCCATAAGGATACCAACAGTGCTTAGGAATAAAGAACATTTTGCTAGAGTTGTTCTATCATGGGTCCTTGCTCAAAGTGTTCTTTTTCTTCTAATCTGGTTTTCAGTATTTGATCCTGTGTTTCTTCATAATTATGCACAGGATCTGGCCGAGGGATAGGCTTGGTGTGTTCATATGGAATATCCACTGAAGGATGGTAGCAAACTACTGTCCTGCCATCAGATGTCAAAGCAAGTTCTACGTGACAATTATAGTAATCTGGAAGAGAAGAGTATGTGGATTTAGGACAAACACAGTATAAAGTTTCATTTTGGATTGGAAATAAATGTTTCAAAATAGTTCTGGATATTGCCCGTTTCACTGCTATACGGCCATGGTTAATCGAGATGCTTATAAGGTGGTATGGGAAAAGATTTGAAGAGAAAATGCTTTTAAAATTTGCTTCTAGGCATACCTATTTTCATCCCTTGACTTCTGCTCACCGTGAGCCCTCCATCTTGCCTCCACAAAATTCTAACTTTTATATTACTGATAAATGTTTGTCCTAAGGATGTATCAAAATCTCTCTTATCCACCCCTTACTGTCAGATGTAAGAAATTTTACTCTTAGAAAATTAATAATATATAAAGTTTTTTCAAATTTCTGTGGTCTGTCCCTGACTTGTAATGCAATGATCCCACTCCATCCCCTCTTTCTTCTTCTCCTCCTTCTTCTTTTAACAAATAGTAGTATTCCCAGTTCACCTCACTAAAATTTGGTGTATTAGTAAACGTTCTAGGAGATCCTACTGAGCACAATATAAATTCCACACAGTCAAGTAAATAGCTGTACTCATGAAGGACACATGCAACTGATATTCAATAATACAGTTTAGCCCTCGCTGGTTTGGCTCAGTGGATAGAGCATCGGCCTGTGGACTAAAGGCTCTTGTGTTCGATTCTGGTCAAGGACATATCCTGGGCTGTGGGCTTGATCCCCAGTAAGGGACATACAGGAGGCAGCCAATCTCATCACTGGTGTTTCTATCTCTCCCTCCCCCTTCCTCTCTAAGTCAATAAAAATATATTTAAAATATTAATAATACAGTTTAGTAATTTTAAAAAAAACCTATTTTTAAAATTCAACTTTTATTCTTACTAAAGTAATGTTTGTATTCTGTTTAAAATGTAAAATAGCTGGAACCGGTTTGGCTCAGTGGTAGAGCATCAGTCTGCGGATTGAAAGGTCCCAGGTTCGATTCCGGTCAAGGGCATGTACCTTGGTTGTGGGCACATCCCCAGGAGGGGGTGTGCAGGAGGCAGCTGATCGATGTTCCTTTCTCATTGAAGTTTCTAACTCTATTCCTCTCCCTTCCTCTCTGTAAAAAAAACAATAAAAATATATTTTAAAAAATAAAAATAAAGTGTAAAATAATTCCACGAGGCTTATAACTACTTTCCTTTTCCAATTCTTTCAAATGCTTCTTCCAAAATTTATCTTCATAGTTCTTTTTTTAATTTAATTTTATTGATTTTTCAGAGAGGAAGAGAGAGGGATAGGGAGTTAGAAACATCGATGAGAGAGAATCATCGATCAGCTGCCTCTTGCACACCCCACACTGGGGATGTGCCTGCAACCAAGGTACATGCCCTTGACCACAATCGAACCTGGGACCTTTCAGTCCACAGGCTCTATCCACTGAGCCAAACCGGTCTCGGCTCTCCATAGTTCTTAATAGTGTACGGAAACTGCTATTTTCAGTGCTATCATCTTCTGACATCTTTCCCCTTTGAGACGTCCCTCCCAAAGCCCCTCTTCTGCTCCAATCTGCAATGGATGTTCTCTTGATCTGCTTACATGGTCAACTCAACCCCTGAGGCCAGACGGACGCAGGTCCCACCTCTGCTTCTACAGTAATGCTTCCCCAGGAATCAGTGACGGCCTTGATCTAGCCAAGCACCCCCCAACCTAAAAGGGTACGGATTTTGCCGACAGGTAGACGATCCTCTCCCTACTCACGTCCCCAGTAGTGAAAAACCGACTTTTTTACCCTGAGAGAAGTACAGAAAGTGCATCTTCTGCCGGCCATCAACGGACACCTCCGGAGGGGGCGTTTCCACCAGCTGCGGTGCAGAGAAGCACCTGCTGGGCCTGGAGGCCGGGCGGACAGGCCGCAGCCACCGCCCCGCAGACGGCACTGTGCGGTGCACTCTCCGCGAGGACGCCGCGTCCACAAGCACCTGGACCTGGAGGCGGAGACCCACACCCGGGCGGGCCGCTCGGAAGCCAGAGTGAAGGGGTCAGGGTCCTGCTGCAGGCGCCCGAGGCCGTTCCCACAGAAACAGCCCAGAGCACTCACGGCGCATGCGCCTCTCCTCGCCCCGCCCCCTCCCCGACAGGGGCGGAAGTGGGCGGGGCAGCGAGGCGGAGAACCCGGAGCCGGGACGGCGGCCGCCGCTGGAGACGCCGGAACTTTCGGGGGCCGGGGCTGCGGGCTGTGCCGGGGACGGCGGGACCGGACGCGTGCGCGCACCGAGGCGTCCGTCTCAGGCACCTGCACCGGGGCCGCGCGTTGTCGGGGCGGCGGGAAGCGCAAGTGGCAGGCGCCTCCGTCCGCGTTGCATCGGGCGCGCTCCTCGCCGGCGCACGTCCTCCGGCGTCCTGGCGGCCCCGGCTGCGGTCGCGGCGGTCCGAGCTGCGGCCTGGCTGCTGCTCTGGGCGGCTGCGGAGCTCACCTGCCCGGCCTCCGGGGCCCTCCCCGCCGCCCAGGCCGACGCGGGTAAAGAGGGGGGCGTGGTTGTGGGAGTGGGGGCGGGGCTGGAGCGCGGACTCCGGGGTCCTCTCCCCCGAGCGGTTTGCGGAGGTCCGTCTGTGTACCCCGGAGGTTAGTCTCTGTACCCGGGCGCCTAGGACTGAGGGGTGAGCTGGAGGAGGTTAAAAACCAAGGCCATGTGCCTCCTCTTCTCTGGCTCCGCCGGCCACCCGCACAGCCCCTCGGACTCTGGGCAGTTTTTCTGGCCACACAGTTACTAAAACATTGTGAAGGGAGTATGGCGATGAAGCGTCTTGGGATGCATGGAGCTTCTTTTTTTTTTTTTTTTTTTTTTTAATATATATGTTTTTTTTTTATTTTCCACAGAGAGGGAGAAGGATAGAGAGCTAGAAACGTCGATGAGAAACATAGACTAGCTGCCTCCTGCACACCCCCTACCGGGGATGTACCCACAACCAATGTACATGTCCTTGACCGGATTCGAACCTGGGAGCTTAGAGACCGAAGACCAAGGCTCTATCCACTGAGCCAAACCGGTTTCAGCTGCATGGAGCTTCTTACACCCACAGGGAGCCAGTAAGGTCCCCGAGCCCTGTGAAGTGTGAGAACCCCAATCCCGAAGACAGAGGCTCCGCGGGGGGGGGGGGGGGGGGGTGGGGTGGGGGGGGGCGTGGGAAGAGAGGACGACTAGGTTTTTTTTGTTTTACAAACACCTTTGATGGTAGACTGGATTGCGCTGGGGTTTCTCTCCGGTTTAGCCAGCGCATTGATGCATTTCTTTGGGCCCCAGCTCGTGGGCTGGAGTGCTATGTATGCTGTGTGTTGTGGGTCAGCCCTAAGCTGAAAACACACTCCCCCACCCTCGTGGAGCGTTCAGTGGGTTTTCGGGGGGAGACATTCTACTAGTGATAATTAGATAGAGCGATAACGTTTGCTAAGGAAAGAAAGGCAGGGCAAAACCACGCGAGTTTCTCCACCTGGAACATGATCGACTAATACCTGTCAATCAGTGCAGTTCTGCTTTTGTGTGTCTACATATTAGGTTTCAAATTTATATGAAGAAATGATTATGAGGCCAAGTAGATTTTTGAAACAACTTGTCTTGGTGGTTTTTAAGACTCCTCCTGCACTGGCATTTTATGATTTAAAAAATGGGTCAATTTCCAGAGCCAATACAGACCGTAATAACCAAATAAAGTAAAACTTAAGAGAAAAAAATAATTGAAGGTGAATTTGGATGCAACAAATTCGTTTTGAAAATGGTACTTTTGCCTTAAAGATCATAGTTGTCTGGTATTTGCTATACTGTTTGTAAATTAGCTTTTCTACCATCCCAAGATTTACAATTTGCTAGTGTATATCAACAGAATTTAAATCCATTAATCTGGTCTTTTTTTCTAATTTAATATATTGGTATTTAAAAACTTATTCCCTACTTCACCCCCTTTAAAATTAAACATGATGAAGAAACATCTAGATTTGTACAAGAGGTACCCTAAGTTATTTGGGGAAAGATTAAATATGCTTTTCCAAAGAAAATAAGGCTTTCTTTAAATAGCTAAGAGAGGGGAAATATACGAGGCTATAAAAGTCAGGCAAATCTTGCCCTGGCAGGATAGGTCAGTTGCCCTAGCAGGATAGGTGAGAATGAGCTAGATATGCCAACGTTGTGGGTTGGATCCCTGTCAGGGCACATACAAGAATCAACCAGTGAATGCATAAATAAGTGCAACAAATCAGTGTCTCTCTTAGTCACATCAATAAAAAAAAATTGAAGATATATGTAAAAAAATACATGTCAGGCAAATCTTGCTTCTAATCAGTCACTTATTTGTAAGACTTCCAGAGCCAGTTAATATCTCTTACAAGTCAGAGCTTCCTTCTTTGTACAAATGGCAATGATTTATTTTTATTCTCACCTGAGGATATTTTTCCAATGATATTTTAGAGTAGAAGGGGTGGAGGGGGAGAGAGAGAAAAAGAGAGAGTGAGAAATATCAATGTGAGAGAGAGAGACATGCCCCAACCAGGGCCAAGGATCAAGCCTGATGGGGAGTTGAACCAAAAACCTTTGGTTTATGGGACAATGCTTCCAACTGACTGAGCCACCCAGCCAGGAAAATGGCAATAATTTTGACTGCCTACTTTGCTAGGTTGTTAAACTCATGTGAAAGCCCCTATCATATAGGTATTATTTAATAAATGTTATTTTTTCATACTTTTCCCTTCAGTTGTATATTTCATGTTTTAATCTCTCTGACATGCTTTTTCAAGTATCTTTTCAGGAATATATATAATGGACCTAGCAACATAGAATATAATATGGTCTTCATGTATTTTAATGATTTTCCCACATTCTACCTACTTTTGAAAATGAAATAAAATTATATTGCAAGGCACTTGGCAGAGTTGGTAATCTGATCATTAGTTATGATGCTCACATTAAGTAATAGCTTTTAAAATATATATATTTTATTGATTTTTTACAGAGAGGAAGGGAGAGGGATAAAAAGCCAGAAACACTGATGAGAGAGAAACATCGACCAGCCGCCTCCCGCACACCCCCCATCGGGGATGCACCAGCAACCAAGGCACATGCCTTGGACCGGAATCGAACCCGGGGCTCTTTATTCTGCAGGCCAACGCTCCATCCACTGAGCCAAACCGGTTTCGGCTAAGTAATAGTTTTAATGTCTGAATGTCAATGTTCTTAATTCCCATGCTATAGAGTCTGTATAGTGAGATTTCTGGTTATTCTAAATTTATTAAAGAACCTTTTGGAACGAGGTTTGGCTCAGTGGTCAGAGCATCGGCCTGTGGACCACAGGGCCAGTTCCCAATCAAGGGCACCATTGGGGCATGTGCAGGAAGCAACCGATTGATGTGTCTCTCTCGTAAATGTTATCTCTGTCTCTCTCTCTTTCCTTCTCCTGCCTTCCCTCTTACTCTCTCTAAAAGTCAGTGGAGGCCAGGCCGATATGCTCACTGGTTGAGCATTGACCTCTGAACGAGGAGGTTTGATTCCTGGTTGGGGTACATGCCCATGTTACAGGCTCGATCCCCAGTGTGGGGCTTGCAAGAGGCAGCCGATTAATGATTCTCTCTCATTGTTGATGTTTCTCTCCCTCTCTAAAATCAATAAAAGATATATTTAAAAAAAAATTAAAAAGCCAATAAAAATATTCTTGGGTGAAGATTAAAAAAGATTCATTTTAATTTTTTTTTTTAAACACTTCCAACATGTCCACAAGGCAAATGTACTGTCTTCTCAGTTTTATAGGTAGTTGGAATTAAAACAGATTTTCTGCCCCTGCTGGTGTGGCTCAGCTGGTTGGAGTGTTGCTCCTTACACCAAAAGATCACCTGGATAAAGTAATAACACTATATGATAAGACCTATTTTAACTACTACTTCATATATTAAGTCTCATGACAACTAGCAGAACAATTAAACTATCTTATGTAAAGTCACATAGCTATTAAGTGACAGGGTTTTGAAAGTAAGCAATCTAATTCCAAAATCAGTGTTCTTAATTCCCATGTTAAACTAGAAGTAGATTTATATGTAGCTCAACTTGCTTAAGTTTTAGAGTTTTTGTTTCATTTTCAGGTTGGTTAGATTCTCCAGGCAATTAAAGCCTATTAAGAAAATTATTTTCTAATTTGTAAGTAGTATTTGATTGAATTCTTGTTTTATTAAAAATCAAATCTTTTGGTTCTTACAGGCATAAAGGCCAGTTGTTCTGAAATTATTTTGCGGCAAGAAGTTTTGAAAGATGGTTTCCACAGGTAAGTTGCCTGTTGACTTTTACTTGTATCAAAGTACTGTTTCATGTTTAGAGCAAAAAATCAATAGTTGAAAAATGGATAAAACTGAAAAGAAAATCACTTAATTTCTTCCAGTTGTAAGTGGCAGATTTATTATAATGTGGGTACAGTTTGAAATAATGATTAACCCATTGTATGCCATAAGCGTCTGTAGACCCAAGTGGCTGACCTTCCCCACACACCACACACATCTATTAAAAAATAAAAAATTTTCCCTAAGAGATAAACCTGACCAACTTTAGAATCATTTTTCATGAGAATTTTCAGCTGAAAATATTTAAGAATACCCGAGCTGTAATATATTTGTTTTTATAATATTCATTGCAAATTGATTTTTTTAAGTAAATTCAAAATTTTGTGGCATGTGGGCATGGTTTCCGTTTTGGATGCATATTCAATCCCCAAGCCGAATCAATGATTCTCTCTCATCATTGATATTCCTCTCTCTCTCCCTCTCCTTTCGTCTCTGAAATAAATGAAAATATATTTAGTTATAAATTAACTGGAGATGAGGGGAAAACAAATGTTTATAAATTAGCCAAAACCGGTTTGGCTCAGTGGATAGAGCGTCGGCCTGGGGATTGAAAGGTCCTGGGTTCAATTCCGGTCAAGGGCACGTACCTTGGTTGCGGGCACATCCCCCGAGGCAGCTGGTCGATGTTTCTCTCCCATCGACGTTTCTAACTCTCTATCCCTTCAATTCCTATCTGTGTAAAATCAATAAAAAAATAAAAAATAAATTAAAAAAATGTGTATAAATTAACATATTTAGAAGTTGTGTATATGTAATATCCTATTTAATCTTCACAGTGGATGAGAGATGATACCTTTCTAGTTTTTCAGATGAGGCAACTAGGGTTCAGAGAATTTAAATAATTATAATAGCAATATTTCCTTCCTTAGCCAAAAGTTGCATTTGCTTTATTGCAGTCTTTTTTCATTATGATATAGCTATAAATATATTCTTTTTTTAAAAAGTAATAGACTTTAATCAGTGTGGCTCAGTGGTTGAGTGTTGATCCCTGAACTAGGAAGTCATGGTTCAATTCCCAGTCAGGGCACATGCCCAGGTTTTTGGGCTCAATCCAGGGGGCAGGCAGAAGGCAGCTGACTGATGATTCTCTCTCATCAATGTTGTTTCTCTCTCCCTCTCCCTTCCTCTCTCCAGAATCAATAAAAACAGGCAGTCAGACATCCCTTTCACAATCTGGGACTGCTGGCTCCCAAATGCTCGCCCCCCAGCCTGATCATCCCCTAACCACTCCCCTGCCAGCCTGATCGTCCCCAACTGCACTCTCCTGAAAGCCTGGTCACCCCCAAATGCTCTCCCCTGCATATTCACTCTTTATTAGATAGGGTTATTTCTTTAACATATTGGACAGTGTACCTGCCGTGTCTTGACAAACCAGTAAAATTATAAACTCAAACTGAAAGTGTCATGAAATAAACTCCTTAAACAGAAATTTCATACGACCTTAGAGAGGTGATATCATGTGGCTGTTTCTTCCTTTTTTCCTTCTTTTTCTTTTTCTTGATGTTGCATCTTTTGTCTTTTCTTTTCTCCTTTTATTCAGTGGTCCAGTTTCTCTATCAATATTTGAAAACAATTAAAAAATGAGAGAAAATGTTTTTATATTTGCTCATATATTTATCATTTGCTCTTCTGTCATTATTTCTATTTTCTTACCTAAGTGAGTCTCATTCCCTGAACTTGGTCCAATACATGCCTCCAGACAGAAAGCTGTGACAGTTACCCCGCTAGATTATAGACTATTTCAAATTAATTTTTGTATGTCTAGTTGTTTCGATTTTATTTTTTGAAAAGACTATCTTTTCCTCATCAAATTATATTTGAACTTTAATTGAAAATTTGTGTATGCTCTTTTTTCACACTAATACAATTTTCCAACCTGTTTCATCTCATGGTACATATAAACTACTAAAATTCTGTGGCACACCAAAATATGTATTTTTTTGTCAACCTGACAAAAAACATAGGTATAATTTTGATTCATTCATTTGGATGGCTAATGTTGTCATTTTTTTGACAATCTAAGGGAAAATTGGTCATTGCCCCTAATTAAAAAGTGAGTGATACTTGTCATGCTTGTCAGTAGTAAGCCAACTAAACTGAGCTGATTGAATGCATGTTTTAAAAAAATCTTGTGGCACAGCAGTGTGCCTTTTGCTGGTTGAAAATCACTGCATTAATATAACACTATGGTTTATGATATGGATTTTTGAAAGATCTAATGGGTGGTTCTGATATGAAATAAATATTTCATTTGATTTTATAGTCTCTATAATTTTTAAAATAGAGTGTTTCTACTAATTTGAATGTAATGTTATGCTATCTCATTAACAATTTAATGAAGAGATTTTTCTCTGAACATACTTGTCTTACAGAGACCTTTTAGTAAAAGTGAAATTTGGAGAAAGCATTGAGGACTTACAGACCTGCCGACTCTTAATTAAACAATGCATTCCAGCGGGACTTTTTGTGGATCCATATGAGTTGGCTTCATTACAGGAGAGAAACATAACAGAGGTACAGCTGTTAGATGATTTTTACAACTATTGGAGCATTATTTTGAGAGGAAATTTTTTTAGGAATGCTATAATTTGGATCAAGGCAAAATAGTATGTAAGAAAACACTAGATACATTTTGTAAAAGTCTATCAAGTAACATTTTTAGATAGTATAGGAGTATTTTTTAATAAGTGAGTGATACTTGTCATGCTTGTCAGTAATAAGCCAACTAACCTGAGCTGATTGAATGCATTTTGGCAATATGGTTTCCAGTTTAGTGACTAAGAAAATGAACAATTAATAAATACTGTTTCAATAGCAACTTTGTTAAATTAGAGAGACATACCTGACAGCTGTATAATTTGAGTATGAGAGGAGAAAAAATTAATATTTATTGGATCTCTATATGTCAGGTATTTTCTATCTTTCTTTTTTCTAAGAAACAAGGTAAAATAAGCATAAAGAAAGATTATTATTTATTTTTTATTTTATTTTATTGATTTTGTACAGAGAGGAAGGAAGAGAGAGAAACATCGATGAGAGAGAGTCATCGATCAGCTGCCTCCTGCACACCCCCCACTGGGGATATGCCCTCAACCAAGGTACATGCCCCTGTCCCTTCAGTCCCCAAGCCGATGCTCTATCTATTGAGCTAAACCAGTCTCGGCTTAAAATGTTTTTTACCATATTATTTTTTTAAGGAGTAATTTACTATTTTTTTCCATTACCTTTTATACCCAGTATATAAAGAGTGCTGACCTTTGCTTTGATTTTCTGACCACAGTGATCTATCTCTCTACCACCTTACTGGCATCTCTGAAGAACAGGAAATTACCAGAATGATACCAATCATTTTTACCCACAGCTGGGTTAACTGTTTTTGTTTTTTTTGTCATAATTTTCATACTTATTGAACAATGCTACACTTATTCACAAACTTTCTCATTTCTTGGTACCTGTTTTATAACCTAAACAAAGGTTGATAATTTTTATTGTGGGAAAATTTTCTAGTTTCCTTTTAGTAAACAAGCTTTTATTAAACACAGATCACATCTTATGTTTTCTTAACTTGAGGATGGAAGGGGAATGGAAATTGCTTATAAAGGGGATGAATTTTAAAATCTTTTCACCTGTATAGCAGTCCTCTGGTTTATTTTTTATTTTTTATTTTTATTTTATTTTATTGATTTTTTACAGAGAGGAAGAGAGAGGGATAGAGAGTTAGAAACATCCATGAGAGAGAATCATTGATCAGCTGCCTCTTGCACACCCCGTACCGGGGATGTGCCCGCAACCAAGGTACATGCCCTTGACCGGAATCGAACCTGGGACCTTTCAGTCTGCAGGCTGATGCTCTATCCACTGAGCCAAACCAGTTCCGGCTAGTTTTGTTTTTTAAATCTTCCTTATTCATTTTTTTCTCTTGGATTAATAATTTGTTTTTGTTTTGACAGGCAGTCATGGTTTCAGAAAATTTTAATATAGAAGCTCCCAATTATTTGTCCAAGGAATCTGAAGTTCTCATTTATGCCAGACAAGATTCACAGTGCATTGATTGTTTCCAAGCTTTTTTACCGGTGCACTACCGCTACCATCAGCCACATAGTAAAGATGGAGAAACCTTTATTGTGGTCAGTAACCCTGATTTACTGATGTATTGTGACCAAGGTAAGGGTTGCACATCTTTTCTGAGGGTTGAAAATAAAAATAAAGGTATGGTGGCAGGTCTGAAATCAAGGGATAACAAAAGCATGTTTCTTTTTTCTTTTTAACTTTTTGGTTGTAAAATAGGGCATAGATATGGAAAAACTTCACAAATATGTAGTTTAGTGAGTTATTATAAGGCAGATGTTCTTGAAATTATCACGCAGGTCAGAAATAGCACTTAGCCTATCTAGCAGCAGCTCCATGTATCATCTCTCAAACATAGTCTCCTCCTTTCTCCTAAGACTAAACCCACTATCCTGATAATCACTTCCTTTTATTTATTTTTTAAAATATATTTTTATTGATTTCAGAGAGGAAAGGAGAGAGAGATAGAAACATCAATGATGAGAGAGAATCAAGCCCCCTACTGGGGATTGAACCTGCAACCCAGGCATGTGCCCTTGACCAGGATCGAATCTGGGCCCCTTCGTCTGCAGGCCAACGCTTTATCCACTGAGCCAAACCAATCGCCAGACTGTGACTCGTGAGCCACATAGGGCTCTTTGGCCCCTTGGGTATGGCTCTTCCACAAAATACCACGTGTGGGCACACTTGTACGGTGCGATTGAAACTTTGTGGCCATGTGCAGAAGTCGGTTTTCGGCTCTCAAAAGAAATTTCAGTCGTTGTCCTGTTGATATTTGGCTCTGTTGACTAATGAGTTTGCTGACCTCTGAACTAGGGCAACTATTTCCTTTTATAATATATATATATAAATATATACACTGAGTGGCCAGATTATTATGATCTCTGAATACATAATAATCTGGCCACTCTGTGTATATCCTATATAATAAAAGGCTAATATGCAAATTGTCCCCTCAATCAAGAGTTTGACCAGCAGGCAGGCTGGCCAACCGCCCATATCCGCCCCCCCTCGCCAGGCTGGCCAGATCCCACCCATGCACGAATTCATGCACTGGGCCTCTAATACACACACACACACACACACACACACACACACACACACACACACAAAGTGGCCAGACTATTATGTGTTCAGAGATCATAATAATCTATAAACTATACTAGAGGCCTGGTGCCTGGATTTGTGCACAGGTGGGGTCCAGCCTCCCGCCCCGATGGGGGCTGACCAAGCCAGTTGGGGGGGGGGGGGCATAAGAGGTTGGGGGACCATTTGGGGCCCTGATTGGGATTGGGCTGGTTGGCCACTGCAGTGCATGTCATAGCAACCAGATATTCCAGTAGTTATGTTGTTCCAGTCCCTTGGCTTTTATATATATCCTATATAATAAAAGGCTAATATGCAAATTTTCCTCTCAGGAATTTGACCAACAGGGAGTTTGACTGCTCGCTATGATGTCTGCTGACCACTCGGGGGTGGCATGGAATGAAGGAAGGCCCCAGCTGGTAGTCAGGGGAAGGAAGACCCTGGCCAGTAGTCAGCAGCCCAAAGGCCCCAATCGGCCCTGATCGCCAGCTAGGCCCTACCCTTGCATGAATTTCGTGCACTGGGCCTCTAGTAGATATATAAAAGCCTAAGTGACCGAACGACCCGTTGACCAGTCACTATAACACACACTGACCTCCAAGGGGCAGACACTCAACCCTGGTGGTCATTGTGCTCCCACAGACAACCTCCTGTGGCTGGCCAACCCCCTGAGGTCCCTCCCCCAGGCTGGCCGCCCTAATCAGCCTCCTTCACCGGCCAGGCCGAGGGACCCCACCTGTGCACAAATTCATGCACCAGCCAGGACCGGTTTGGCTCAGTGGATAGAGCGTCGGCCTGCGGACTGAAAGGTCCCGGGTTCGATTCCGGTCAAGGCCATGTACCTTGGTTGCGGGCACATCCCCAGCAGGGGGTGTGCAAGAGGCAGCTGGTCAATGTTTCTCTCTCATCGACGTTTCTAACTCTCTGTCCCTCTCAATTCCTCTCTGTGTAAAATCAATAAAATATATTAAAAAAAACAACAACAACAAAAATTCATGCACCAGGTCTCGTGTGTGTGTGTGTGTGTGTGTGTGTGTGTGCTTGCGCGCTTGTGTGTATACACACATATTATTTCAGGGAGAGGAAAGGAGAGGGAGAAAGCTAGAAACATCAATGAGAACAATCTGCTGCCTCCTGCACACCTCCTCCTGGGCATGAGCCCACAGTCCCCACATGTGCTCGGACCAGGAATCGAACTGTAATGTGATCTGGTTCATGGATCAGCACTCAACCACTGAGCCACACTGGCTGGGCCCTTATATTTATTTATACTTTTATCACCCAAGTATATGATACACTATAGCTTCGTCTTGCCCATTTAGCATTTTTCTCAGAGTTGGGGTTTTGGTGATAGTAACCATGCAGTTCATGTGACCTTTTTATTTCCTGGAAATTGGCACCTGGCTCCAGGGGTGTGATTAGATTCAGGTTTGCTTCTTTTGGCAAGTGCTGTGTTTTATAAGGAGGTGTATAATGTTTGGTGTGCTTCTATTTTCAGCATTGATACTCATTGCCCCTTTGCTGTTTTCTATTTATTCAACTTATTGCTGTTGGTATTTTGTTTACACTTGCATGTATTTGGTGTTGAGGGTACTTTATTACCTAGTTTTCCTATAAACAGTCCATGAATTTTTGGTTTTGTAAGTAATTGTTCTGTTTTTATGTGTAGATTTGAGTAAGTATTTAAAAATTTGCTTTTCATTCTCATTTTTTTAAGAATGAAAACTTTTTTAATTAATTTATTTTTTTAATGTTTTTTTAAAAATATATTTTATTGATTTTTTACAGAGAGGAAGGGAGAGAGATAGAGAGCTAGAAACGTCAATGAGAGAGAAACATCGACCAGCTGCCTCCTGCACACTCCCCACCGGGGATGTGCCCGCAACCAATATACATGCCCTTGACTGGAATCGAACCCGGGACCTTTCAGTCCACAGACCGATGCTCTACGGCTGAGCCAAACAGGTTTCGGCTATTTTTTTTTTAAATGTTTTATTGGTTTTTTTACAAGAGGAAGAGAGGGATAGAGAGTTAGAAAATCATCAATCAGCTGCCTCTTGCACACCCCCTACTGGGGATGTGCCCGTAACCAAGGTACATTCCCTTGACCGGAATCGAACCTGGGACCCTTAAGTTTGCAGGCCGACGCTTTATCCACTGAGCCAGACCAGTCTCGGCAAGAATTAAAACTTTAATTTAAGAAACCCTTTTCAGATTTTTGGCTCTTGGTGCCTCCATAATTGGGTTGATTTGAATGTTTGCAAAAGTTAGTAGTACTGTTACTAAAGACTGGCAGATAGGAAGTTTTCAATTCATACATTTGCTGCTGTCATATATTTCATGGTGAAAAAATAAAAAAGTGTTCAACTATGTTAGCTTTGTTCATCCAACCTAGTTTTCTGTTTCTGTTAATGATATTGACTTGTCTTAAATAAAGTTTAAAAATGTGTTCTCTTCTGAAAGAGCATCTGGGGTTCTGGTGTTATTCGGGTGTTGGTCTGAAAGCTCTTTATGGGTGTGTTTACACCTGGAAATTTATTGAGTTGGATGCTTAGGACCTGTTTACTGTCTAAATATGTGTTATACTTCAAGAAAAAGTTTAAATTAAAATACTTAAATAGTGGCCTCTAGTATAATGGGATTTGTTAAGAAATCATGCACAGTCTTTGTAATTTCATAATTTCTTAGGCATTCACTTAAAACAGGCTGTTAAAATAAAACAATAGGTGATAGATGGAGCCAAATCAAGTGGCTCCATTGTGTATTAAAATGCTTGAATACTCATATTCCAACATGACAAATTGCCCTAGCCTCTAGTCCAGATTAAAGTTTTGTGACATGATCTTCAACCACTTTTTCTCAGAGTTTCCAATTTTGAAATGCTGGGCTCAGTCAAAAGTGGCAGCTCCTTGTGCTTTGAAGAGTAAGGATATTTGCCAGTGGAACAATATGAAATATAAATCAGTAAGTTAGTATTTTATATTTTTAGATTGTACTATTTCATTTAAAATTCTTTATGTAATGTTTCTGCCACATTTAAGGGATTAGAATTTTATATTTTACCATAGAAAACTGTTTTGGTTTTTTTTTGTAATGTCATTTCTTTGCTGCAGATGACAACAGTGGTTCCTTCTTTATATAGAATCATTTGAGGGCTAGAGATTTAGTGTTAGTCCCATGTCTCATTGGTCCAGAGCTTAAGTATAGATGATAAGGCGATTTAAATGTGTGAAATGGCCAAGAAAAACAGTGGTACATCCATAAGGTATAAACTTTATTTAGAACTTTTTATTAATTTTTGAACAAATAAATTAGTTAACTTCATTGTATTACAAAGAACAAGTGAAAAAAAGGATAATAAAACTCAAATTAGTATTATTTCAACTGTGTTAGTTTTTAGACAGTTTTCTTTTTACCTTCTTATGTTAGAGGCCCGTTGCACGAATTCGTGGACGTAGGGACCCTCAGCCTGGCTGGCGATCGAGGCCTATTGGTGGGCCAGCTGGCTGCAGGGAGGGACCATGGTAGGTTGGCGGGCCGCAAGAGGTTGGCTGTGGGAGCGCACTGACGACCAAGGGGCAGCTCCTGCATTGAGCACCTGCCCCCTGGTGGTCAGTGGGCATCACAGCGACTGGTCGACCGGTTGTTCCGGTCATTCAGTCTTAATGGCCACTTAGGCTTTTATTTATATAGTCTACTTTTTTCCTCTCTTCAGAGTAGTTAAGTTTTTCCCCCCATTGATTTTTAAAGGAAGTGACAGGCAGGAGAGAGAACATCTATGTGAGAGAGACACATCAACTGGTTGCCTCACACACACCCCCCTAGGAGCCAGGGATCAAACCTGCAACTGAGGTACATGTCCTTGCCCTGGAATCGAACTCAAGAATTGATGCTCTAACCTAGGGGTGTCGAACTCAATCAGAGAAGGGGCCAAAGTCTAAAATCCAGCCTAAATCCTCGGGCCGAATGGTTTACTGAACAGTCATAAACTGTCATTGTGATGGAAACGCAGCGGAGTGCAGTGATGACAGCGCGGTGCAGGCCACATTGCAAGGCCTGGCGGGACGGATTTGGCCCGCGGGCCTTGTGTTTGACACATGTGCTCTAACCACTGAGCAACCAGCTCCTCTCCTTGGAGGTCTAGGGTGGGACTGAAAGTTCCAACTCTCTTATCACATGGTTGACTCTATTGGCAACCAGTCCTCATCCTTAGGTGCTTTCCAAATCTACTTCACCAACGTAAAAGACACCATGCTTATTCTTAACACTTAGGAAATTCCAGTTTGGGGAGCTTTGAGCCAGAAAGGGAATGAAAACCAAATATATATATATATATATATATATATATATATATATATATATATATATATAGTTATTGATATTTCACGGAGAGGAGGAAGGGAGAGAGACTGAGAGAGAGCTAGAAACGCCAATGAGAGAGAAACATCGACCAGCTGCCTCTTGTACATACCCCACCGGGGATGTGCCAGCAACCAATGCACATGCCCTTGACTGGAATCGAACCTGGGACCTTTCAGTCCGCAGACCGATGCTCTACCACTGAGCCAAACCGGCTTTGGCCATGTTACAATAATTTTTTTCAAACTCTAAAGTACATCTGGAGAATAACATTTAAGATTATGTGAATGAAGAATATGATTAGTGTTTATGATTTATTGATTTAAAAATTGGAAGTGTACAGATATGCACGGCGCCTCTGGTGACGGTGGTAGCCTAGTAAACAACTGCAGCTGTCTAGGAGAGCTGTTTTAGTTCGTGACGTACCGGCGGGCAGGCCTTCTTAATGGATGACAAGGCGGAGGATGGCGGAATGAATAGTCAGGGTGGTGGAGAGAAATCGCTCAAAAAGCGACTGCGCATGCGCGTCCCGGGTTACCCAGGGTCCCCGAGCGGCGCCGGCAGGCGCCAAAGAGGAAAAAAAATTGGTAGTGTGCATTGCTATAAAATAAATACCCTGTTAGAATAGTTTGAATTCATTTCTCTTTAAGACCATGTGACTTGAAATAAGAAGTCATACTTAAGCTATTTGATTTTTTTCCCTTTACTTTGAGTAATAGGGGGCCGTTACTAAGTTGGTGATCCTTATTAAGACTTATTTGCTTAAGATGCCATTTTTTTTTAAGATTATAATTTTCAAATAGCACTTTGTTACAGATTGTGGTGATAAAATATTTTTTTGGATGTGAAGTTATAATCCAGGATTTATAAAAAGAAGTAAAAAATAAAAATATCCCCAAATTTTAATGTTTTTTAAAAACTCACTTTTAAACCACAAAATTTCCCAAAGTTTTTAATTGAAACCTTTATCTTCAAAACCAAATAGAAAATAGAAACTAAGTTGAATCTGCAACCTCTTGTACATGGGACCACAGTCAACCAACAGAGCCACACCAGCCTGGCTGGCCTCGGTTTTTAAAAAGAATATATTCAATTCTATGTAAAATATTAAAAAAAAAAAAAAGTAAAAACTAATGACAATTTAAGAATTATTGTGGGAATTGAGTCTGATTTATTTACATTAAATGTTCAACCCAAAAGAATTAGCCGAACAATAATGGTACATTTAGTGTAGAATTGGCTGAAGAATATTTAAAAGCAAAAAAAAAAAAGAAAGAAAGAAATAGTGGTCTTACTTAGAACATCCATTTTAAATGTCTCTAACTTCTCTCCCCACAGGTGCATAAGAATGTGACTCTACAGGTTCCAGTGGGACTGACTGTACATACCACTTTAGTATGTTCTGTCACTCTGCTTATTACCATCCTGTGCTCTACTTTGATTCTTGTGGCTGTTTTCAAATATGGCCATTTCTCTCTATAAGTTTTCTGCAATTAAATGTTTTCCATAAACCTAAATAAGACCCAGTCGTTTGTGATCAGAAGCATTCTTATAGAATTGTCATTACTTTTATATTTTGTCTTCATTTTTGGTTAAAATTATATTTATTGGAGGAAATTTTGGATCATTTTCAACAAATTCCAAAATTGAGTGCTCTGTTGTGTAGACCTGTGATAATCTTCAAGTATCGAGTGCTAGTGGAGAAAACTTAATTGTTACTATTTATTTTGTGAGAAGTGACTTTTATCCTCATTTGGGTTATAAAAGTGAGTACTTTCTGTATTAGAGACAAATTATTCTCATTTTATGAATAGAAACATTTCAATTTAAGCTAAAAATTGAGAAAATCATTATAAATAAGAATAAAATAAGTTAGATGAATGAGTTTATTTAAATCTTAATTTTATGAGATATTGAAGTCATCCAGAGTTTCTAAGAAAATATTAATATCAAAATTGATTATTCTTTAAAGCATTTCCATTTTTCTTTTAAATGTTACATTGCTTAAAAAAATCTATAGTAGTAAAAGGGTAATATGTAAATTTCTTAGGAGGCTCTCACAGTAACAACAAACAGCAGGCTTTGTGGAGCTACAAAGCCAGCAGAGGGGTTAGTGAGAGATGACCAAACAACTAAACAGCAGGCTGCATGTGGCGACCATGCCTGCAGGGTGATCAGTGAGGGGCAACCAGGATGGTGGGGAGGGGGCAAGGGGCAACCAGGCTGGCAAGGGAGGCATGTAGGGGCAACCAGGCCAGCATGGGGGGCAGTTGGGGGCGATCAGGCAGGCAGACAGGTGAGCAGTTAGGAGCTAGCAGTCCTGGATTGTGAGAGGGATATCCTGGATTGGAGAGGGTGCAGGCTGGGCTGAGGAGATGACGACCCCCCTTCCCCAAACCCCCCCTCCCCCCATGTACAAATTTCATGCACTGGGCCTGTAACCGATATATATATATATATATATATATATATATATATATATATATATATATATGTGTGTTTTTATTGATTTCAGAGAGAGAGAGGGAGAGATAAACATCAATGTTGAGAGAATCATCCATTGGCTGCTTCCTGCATGCCTCCTACTGGGAATTGAGCCAGCAACCCTGTCATGTCTCCTGACCAGGAGTTGAACCATAACCTTCTGGTTTATGGGTCGATGCTCAACTACTGGGCAACACCAGCTGGGCTATATTGCTTTTTAATATATGAATTGCCTAAGGACTTGATGAAAACTTGATGAAAGATTTAGTTCTGACTTAGTACTGAATTTTTCAGGAAGACAGCTCAGAAAGAGTGTATTTTATTAAGTTATACATTTGCAAAAAATCTTTTTGTATCTTCAGGCAATTTAAAAAAAATTATTGATTTTTTACAGAGAGGAAGAAGGAGGGATATAGTTAGAAACATCGATGAGAGAGAATCATCAATCAGCTGCCTCTTGCACACTCCCTACTGGGGACGTGCCCGCCACCAAGGTACATGCCCTTGACCGGAATCAAACCTGGGACCTTCAGTTCGCAGGCCGATGCTCTATCCACTGAGCCAAACCAGTTTCGGCTCTTCAGGTAATTTTTTAAAAAAATAAGAGGTCTTGATTTAGAACCAAAAAACTATATTAATAAATACAACTATGCTAAAAAGAATAAAGTCATTGTTAATAGTCTCAGAATTCTGTACATACATATATTACTTTTCTACATTTTGAATGCACCTCACATCAGCTTCTGCATTAAGTTTGTGACAAATTTGTGCTGTTCTTAGTGTATGCAAGACACTTGACTTTATTGTTTTATTCTTTTATGTAAAAAGTGCAATATGGACTTATATACAGTCTTTACTATGTTAGATTTATAAACTGTTGTTTTGGAGAATGTAATTGATAAATCACAAATCTTAGTGAATAATGGTGTGATTTAAAGCTGTTACCAGCTCGAGCTGGTATGCTCAATAGATAGAGGATTGGCCCAGGGATTGAAGGGTCCCTGGCATGTACCTCAGTTGCAAGCTCCATCCCCGGAGGAAGGCAACCAATCTATGTGTCTCTATCTCACATTGATGTTTCTCTCTCTGTCTCTCCCCTTCCCACTCTCTAAAAATCAATGGAAAAATATCCTTAAGTGAGGATTAACAAAAAATTAAAAAATAAAGCTTTACACTAGTATTTTGAGACATTAATTTAGTAATTTTATATTGGGGGTAGTAAGAGTTTTCAATTTTAATTAGAATCTCTGCCCTCCTGTAATTAAACATTCTGTACAACATCTGTATTAAAAATAACATTGCTGATTTTTTGGGAAAAGTCTTGGTTTATTGTTTTACTTTGGGGGAAAAATAGAAAATAAAGTAAGTGCCATAAGCCAATTAAAAAATAAAAGGGCAAGCATGCCCTTTCATTTATTTAGGGCAATTTTTTAGGGCAAATATGTTCCAAAACCAAAACCACTAAAACCTTGCTATGTTGGCATTGTTGGTTTTAAATAAATTAAAGGGATGTGATAAATGTGTATATGCTATAACTGATTTCCTAAAACATTCTGGGTTTTTTGTTTGTTTGTTTTTTGTTAATCCTCACATGAGGACGTTTTTTCCCCCATTGATTTTTTTTTTTAGAGAGAGGAGAGACAGAGAGACACATCTATTGGCTGTGTCTCTCCTGCACTCGCCCCTACTAGGGCTGGGGGAATCTGCAACCGAGGTACACATGCCCTTGACAGGAATAGATCCTGTGACCCTTTGGTCTGAGGGCCGACATTCTAACCACTGAGCAAATCGGCCAGGGCAATAGCCTGGTGTCTTTATGGGAATCTTTTATAATTTGACATGTATGGCTTGACTGACTAGTCATAACATTTCTTTTTGAAGATGTGTTTGAGAATTTAAATATTGAAAAAAAACAACCCAGTGCCATAAAGCAGAAATATTAGAAGTCTTAAAAATGACTAAAATTTCCACCCTGTCTAAATCGTGGCTTGGAACATGTTTTAGCCATTTACTCATTTATATAGCTATTCAAAGGTATTAAAAATGTGTATGTCAGTGAAGAAGACTTGGATATGACCATTCTTGCCTAATAAGTGGTTGCAGGTGACATTAATATATATATGTATGTATTTATTTATTTATTTTAACATTTTTCTTTTTCTCTTTTTTTAAATATATTTTTTAATTTTTTATAGAGAGGAAGGGAGAGGGATAGAAAGTTAGAAACAATCAATGAGAGAGAAACATCCATCAGCTGCCTCCTACACAACCCCTACTGCCCGCAACCAAGGTACATGCCCTTGACTGGAATTGAATCCAGGACCCTTCAGTCCGCAGGCTGACACTGTATCCCACTGAGCCAAACCGGTTTCTGCTATATATGTATGTATTTAAAGTAATGTCACCTGCAACCACTTATTAGGCAAGAATGGTCATATCCAATGATCATATATACAATGTTTTTACTAGAGGCCCGATGCATGAAATTCATGCAAGGGGCTTGGCCCTTGTACCTCGGCTTCATCTGGAAGGTCCTTCGGCTCTCTGGTCTAATTAGCATATTATGCTTTTATTATTATAGATTGATTTCAGAGAGAGGAAGTGAGAAGGATAGAGGGATAGAAACATCAGTGATGAGAATCACTGATGGGCTGTCTCCTGCATACTCCCTACTAAGGATCAAGCCCAAAACCCAGGCATGTGCCCTGGTCAGGAATCAAACTGTGACGTCTTGTCACAGTGGCTGGGTCAGATGACATTACTTTTGATAGAACATTTCTGGTTTTGAACTCTGTATATTTGGATATTTTAAAAATGAATAAGCACTTTATTTGTAAAAATCGGTTTTGTGGTTATGTATATCATCTTTTTTATTTTATTTTATTTTTTTTAGGGCCAAGAAAATGGGTACTGATCTCTTGGTTATTATGATCCAGTAATTGTTTTACTTTTGTGGTTAAAGTATTATGTTATGTCCTTTTGGGTGAAAATGACAGAGACAGGAAACCTCTACTAAGGGGGAACAGAGGTGTGTGTGTGTGTGTGTGTGTGTGTTCCTCAGCCACTCTACCAGGAATTGAGATATTTTAGCTATTTATCATGGCAGCTGGTATATACATGGCTTGGGAACTAGAAAAATCTATTGCAGTTCTAATTATTTCAAAATATAATGAGTTTCAGGATTATTCTAGTCAGATATTCTATTCATTTCAAGCTATTCACATACCGTATTTTTCGGACCATAAGATGCACTTTCCCCCCCCCCCCCAGAAGTGGGGGGGGAAAAGTCCCTGCGTCTTATGGTCCAAATATAGCCTACACATATACTATAAAAAAAAAGTTTTTTTACTTGCCCGGCTCTGTGTGGTCTCTGTGTGCTTGCCTGGCTCTAAAATGGTTCTAAATGCTGCTGTTTACTTTACAGGGTTGATTACATGTGTTTATGACTGTGATGTTGGGTTTTAATGCACATAAAATATTTTAGGACACTGTTTGTTTCAGAATCTTTTTTTCTTCATTTCCCTTCTCTAAAAACTGGTGCGTCTTATGGTCCGGAGCATCTTATGGTCCGAAAAATACGGTATATTTTGGTAATTGATTCTGATTCATATGATATGGAAATAAGGAAATTAGAGTTAGGTGACCAACACCTATCTATCTGTATTATTCTCCATACTCAAAAAATATGCTATTGGCAGATTATTGAATGTAAGAGGGTTTTGGTAGGCGGAGAGACAGTGAAATAATATGGACTAAGCATGCCCTTCAGCATTGTCCTAATCAGTGATAGGATGGTAGGTTTAGCTGTCTACCTGATTTTTTGCATCTCAGACCTTACTTCTGGAATCAGTTTCTTCCTGAAGTATATATTTTTAAGGAGTTCCTTTTTCCCCTTTTTTTATTGAATTTATTGGGGTAACATTGGTTTCAGGTGTACAATTCTAGAATACATCATATGTATTGTGTGTTCACCATCCCAAGGCAAGTCTCCTTCCATCACCATTTATCTCCTATACCCTCTCTACCTCCCCAACTCCTTT